CAGCCCCGTAACGGACGTCAGGGTTTCAGTAACCGGACAGAAGATACACATTCTTGAGACAGCTGGATCTGACTTAGATGAGGGAGTTGACCCATATAAAGTCGGGCCGATTTAGAGTCCCGGGTAATTTCGATTCGGTTGGGAGACCATCCGGGTGTGACCTTCAGACCAGCCATACTGAATGTATAACGGTAGTACCGAACACTTTTAGCAGCTGCTGGCGAAGTTCAAATAATGTGGAGAGGAGGGAATGGTTAAGTAGTAAGATGAGAGCCAAAGCATCTGGTGATGCTGGGGCATCAGATATTAAGGTGAGCAGTACAAAAATAATCCTAAAGCGATGGCAGCAAGACAAGTAAACCTACGAAAGGGGGATTTTGTTGGCTGGTCTAGCTGAGGTAGCTGGTGTGCTATGTGGACACAACAAATCACAGTTAGCGAGCTACTGCTAGGCGCGTACGCAGTATATGCAGGCAACCATGCAAAGGACTATAATGGTTGATGAGAGTTGTCTTTTATGTGCACCGAGGGCCATTTGATTAGAAGGCGTAGAGCCAAGACAACAGTTATTTGGTACGTTTAACGTTGTTGTAATTTGCCTTCTTGATTCACAGTTCAGCGTGTACATCGAAAAGACTACTCGGGCGTATTCTGCCTAGGATTCATTTGAAGCATCGTATGTTTCCAACGTTGGCTTTCCACCTAGGAATTGTGCTCCAAGAAGAAATCGTCCACAGTAAATTGTGGCCCGAAGTGGTGATTATATTGTCAAGAGTGAAAATTTTAATGAAGACTACGTCCTGAAAAAAGCGGATGTACAAAACAGGCAACCGCTTGCACACCTGTATTCGAGAGTGATGGTCTGTCTATAGTGATACTTTTGAGCAAAGCGTGCGTCTAAGTGATCAACATCCTAATTGCTATCTGTTTGGCAGCTTCAAAGATGCCTGAGCCACGCCAAAATAAGTGGTTCATCACGTAGCCATTATTTTACTGCAGACTAAATATAAAGTCGGCTCTGATGATACGTTTTGGAAGACAGCAGCGGGCGCAACGGATAACTCGCATAGTTTTTGGAGGCACATGTTTGTCAGAAAATGATCAGCGGTGATTCAGCCACACATGCCTTTATTTATCTGCTCATGCCCGACTGAGATGCTACTTATTTCGGCTAGCAACGGAAATGGGTTCATGTGGGTGTCGCGAAAACCTATGTATATTGCTTTATGGTTGTTATTCCAGAGGAGTGCCGAGGACCGCAGGGTGTGCAGTTACCAAAGGCTTCTGAAAATTATTGAGCCACTGCTCCAAATTTTCAGGCCATCTGCATATAGCAATACTGGAAAGTTTTGCGAAAGCAGGGGTAAGGGGTGGGTGACGATCATGAAAATATGTGACGAGAGAAATTACTGGTGACTATCAGGAACTCAAGGATTTTTAAGAGAGACACCGAGTCGGAGTAGGATGCTTCATGATGAGGAAGAAGGCAGTTACTGTGAAGCTTTACGCAACTCCTGCTGAGGCTCGTTTTGAATCCTGTCGTAGACCCCCGAAATGTAAAAAAGATTCGATGAGTGCCTACCATTGGCTCGGGCGTGTTTGTGGGGTTGGGATAAAGTAGGAGCAGATTGACTCAACGGGAACGAGGCGAAAATTGTTTCTGAACAGATTAAATGAGTTTTCTAGAAAGAATAAATATTTTTAATGCATTTTGGTGACTTTTATGTACATGCACAAGTCATTGGAATCAAATGTGTAGTGTTTGGATATCTTATGATGGCTTTTTCCTATGATGATTGAAATGGGTTGTGAAACGAACGCCAGGCAGGAAGGATGAATATGGATGCATCTTTCAGGGGCAGAAGATGTCCCTTGGTACCTAATAGTGACAGGGACTTAGGGTTGGCGCTCGTTCGGACCCAGGATAGCACGATCAAATGCATGGATTTCTCCGTAAGCAATTGTGCTACTTTAAACAAAGAGACCTAGAACTCATCAGGAGGGTTTTGGCGTGCCATCGACACAAGTTCGGTCAATTGTAAGGCCTAGACATGCAGGATCGCGGACTTGGGTGGGCCGTTAGTCCTTTGATGATGGCAATTCCGCTTCGCCTCTAGCAGGACATGATACCCATTTCTTGTCTTCGATGGAGAACAAGCAGCAGTTGTAGGCAAGGAGGCGCCGCTTGTCCGGATGTTCCCATATGTTTCGGCCCAAGAGACGTCAAAACGAGCCTATGGATTCAAGTTGTCAAGCTGTTGACGGTGGAAGAGGGGAATTACTTGGGAGGAGGCAGTTATGAGGCTTTCTTGATTTTCCCTGAGGTGGAAAATAGTCGGACCCGGTCGAAAGTACTCAGGAATAGTTTCGTTTGCGGAGATCTTTGGCGGCGAAGGGCATGCCATAAGATTTTTCACAGCAGGTAGAGTACCAGAAAAGATTAAGGTAGTCGCTGTGTCCATTTGGTCGAATGCTGCGATATCGCCTATCTGGTATTGCTCGCTCACGAAGACAGTGCTCAGCATGGATGGATTATATTTGTTGTGTGTTGTGATTGTCGTAAAATAACGAGGTTGAAGCCCTCTCATCAAAGCATGGTGCGTTGAAGTGACCGAGAACGAAATATTGTGAGCAGTCGAGAAATAGGGATGCGGTTGGTGTGTGAAAAATGAATTCTTCTTCATTGTACGCGGAGGTTGTATGCAAGTCCTGTAGGCCGTGGATCACGATGGCGCAAATACGGCGTAAACTGTTAGGCATTACAAAGTGGCAGTGGAGATTTGGGTTGTTTTATTCATGGTAGATTGTACTGAGCCGGGGCGCGTACTCACTCAGTATGCTTGCTGGAGGAATAAAAGCGACCCACCACGTAGCATGTGGGATAATTTCTTGACACAACACATTCGTATTGAGTGAAGTTTCAGCAAATGAAAAACAGTCTACGGCTTTTCACCTTCATCGGGAGGAAACAGCTGTTCGAATCTCGCGAAACTCCAGGGAGATTCGACTGGGAGGCTGTGGGGACAGTGATGCACGCCTTTGGTAGGCGTTGTTACAAAAGCTAACGGAGTTTGCGTAAAAAAATTCAGTTTTCTCTTGGTTGCTTTTCTGCTTTACCAGCTAAAGCTTGGAGGGGAATGGTGCTATCTGGTTGGATGAGGTTGAATGTAAGCTGTTGAATGGTGGAGATGGAAATATCCAACAGTGTCGTGAACAGATTAATGGTTCCTGTGTTGACATTTGGATGGAGAACCAAACACCGGATTTTTGGGGGAATTAGTTGGCAGATGATGTTGATTACGCGAATGGTGGATTGTTAGGGTTTAGATGGAAGGAGAACAGTTGAGTGCCATGGATATCGGCAAGTTAATGGGCGGATATTTTTTGAACTAGAAAACAGGTCGAGCTTCCATATAAGTGCTACAGGATGAAGAGTTACATAGAGACCTGAGGGGGCCACTTGCAGGGTTGGAATGGAACAGAGTCCAAATATTCAGTTAATTGGCCTCTCAGTTTAGGGATTAGCGCTCCAATTCGCTTTGGTGGCTAATAGAGCCCGATCAATCGGTGGCGACTGGATCATCTAAGGTGATACTCTGTCGAGAGATGATATGGTTTGGCAACAAATATGGTCACTAATATAAAAAACCAGCCGACTGCAGGTGCGTAGGAGACCGTGTTGTTTGAGTTGGCTATGGGGCGTTTCGATTGCGTGGGTTTGTGACTAAACGATTCGATGGAGTCGAAGAGAATAAACCAGGCATCGTGTTCGGGAAAGGGAGCGGTGATAATCGCACGCGCAGAAAATAAAATACCACAGCTTTGGACCCTGGAGTCCTGGGTCTTGCGGCCCCGGACGTTGATTTGTTGGTTTACGGGAGTCCGGGAGCATACGATTCGCTGTATCCTGCTTTGACAACGCGCGGAGCCAAAAAACAATGGACTCTTCTTCGTGGGGAAGGGGCAAGCTTGGCGAGGTAGGGCGAGGGTTGGACACGTTCAGAAAACCAGATTGCCTAATTGGTCGTTGCATAGGGTTGCGTGATCACTATTAAAAAACGTTGACTGGTCACATCCCACCTGGGATCATTTGTTACAAACTGAAGGGCTCACATAACGAGACTTTCTAATTGCGCATCGGCGCGGTCAGGTGTAGTCCCTCCGCGGCGATTGCCGCACCCATGGAATATTTTAGAGGCTGATTCTACTGCAAGTCCACCTTTCGATGTAGCAACTCGGTGAGTGAGGTTTTCAGCGCTGTTCTTTCTTGAGAGGCCTGAAAGATCGCGGAAAGTGGACCAACACGAAAGTCCCCGTTTCACTAGTCGGTCCGAGATTTCAAAAAAAATGGCGCTACGAAAAAAGCGCATTTTGAGTGTTTTGATGTGTTTGGAATAAGCTAGTTGTTGAATGGAGGAAGTTTTGAAATTGTGATATAATAAGCAGAAATAAATGTACAGCACTGTTATGTACTATGCAGCAGGAGCCACTGATTTGTACTGCCTGAGTAACGCTCTCGTTATGGGAGAATCCACAGCAAACTTAATGGAATCAAATAAAGCCACTGCCGCAATGTACGCATTTGGCCACGTCAAACAGAGTAGAATGAATCCCTTTTCACAATCTCGGAAGTCTCTTGAGGACATCGCTATACTATGACGCAGGTGGGCTGAGAAGTATAAGTTAATTGAAATTGCCCGGTCCCCAGTAAACTAAACCGCCACTACGTGGCATCTACTATGAGCTTGCACGCGAAAGTGGAATATATGGATTAGGCCACAAGATGAGACAACTGTAAATAAGCGAAAAAATTGTCAGCGATTTCCCCAGATAACAAAAAACGGAATGCTTCAAAAGTACCGCCGTCAAAGTAACTGCGCAGCAGTGTAGTTTCAGAATCCATCACCTTCCCACAGCTCTATTCTGTACAGGAGTTAATGAATTAAATTTGAACGAACTGATTATTGTGGTAGCACTTTATTTGTTTAATTCGCCGGTGAGTTCGGTGCGCGCCACTTCGATCCTTTCGCGTGGAGGATGAAGGCGTCGGGTGATGTATGTCGTCTCTTGGTACTCATTAATGGTTTAGCTTCGTCTGTACTCTGTTGTCGGGCGGAAGCTACCGACCGACAAGGAACCGAAGACAGTTCCCTACCGTATGCGCATCTTCGCTCCAAATTCAGTTGTTGCGAAATCAAGGTTTTGGTACTTCATCCGCCAGCTGAAAAAAATGAAGAAAGGCAACGGCGAAATTTTGGCTTGTGAACGCGTGAGTGCATATTAAAACCCAGTGAATATCATTATCTGGTCTGTTGCTATTTTTGTCGCCCGGCATAGTACTTGCAGCAGATTCGCTTTGGATTGCCCGAAAATTCCCGGCTCTTTACATATCCCGAAAGTCTAAACCCAAACTTACACATCACGAAGCCCAAGAGCTTACGGAATGCGCTTCCGAAACGGCTTGGCCTGTGCAGTTGTGCCCATTAACAAATAGGTTTGCTGGGATGGTCCATCATTTGATCCATATTTTTCAGGCTGTTCGGCGGTAGTCGAGTGCAAACGTAGGTTGGTGAATGTTTGCTTTTGAGTAATTGACCTATGTATAAAACTGGAACATCGATTGTATCGAGCACAACCATCCTGAATGGTGACAAAAATTGATAAGGAGCCCAAGAGGAAGCCCGTGTTTTTTTCGACTCTCAGCTTTTGGAAGCAAAGCGCGACATTATGCCTGTCATGAGCTCTCCTCTCACTGCGTTAAACTCAGAGTGAGTGGATAACCAATCGGCGTTAGCTACCGAACCCCATGCCACCCTCGTGATCCAGCCGTCGTGCTTGTAGGACAATCTATAGAATATCACTACCACCACGTTTCGATTCTTCATTTTCGTGACCTATGAGGAGTTTATGAAAGGCTCCGTAGGATTTTCATAATAAATATGACCTTTATTTGGTTTATATGCACTGCAACAGCGTTTTTGAGTGTTTGTTCCAGTCACACTTCGTCCTCGCCCAAGGTGTGACGTTTTTTAAGTACGTTCCCTGGCGACTTACACGGTCTCTACATGCATCTGATGAGTGTTGTTGACACAAATCAATGATACGTAAAGCGCCATTTAGTGACTGTGTATAAATGTACGGTAGAAAACGAGGTATTTATCATGCAGGTTCAATTTGTGTGGTACGAACTAAAGAGAAATTTTTACGAGTTTGTGGAAATGTATACACGACCTCGTTTTCATGCGATTCATAAGGAATAACAACTATCTTCTGAGATCATCGGCTTTCTATGCAGATGTTTACAATCTTAGCCGTTTGCTGCAAGACTGAGGTGGTAAGTTGCTACGTTTCCTGAAAACATTGTTTATCCAAAGTCATGTCTGTAAGATTCCGTGCCTTGTTAATTCTCTACGGGATGTCCAGGATAACTCGGAATACATGGGCACCAGGTGTCCAGAAACATCGATGTGCAGTCCGTTCTTTCATACCACAGACGACCTGATACACCGAATTGACCCGGTCCTCATTTTGAAGTTCTGGAAGCACTGCATATTCCACCCGAATGGTACTGTCTTCGGACCACAATGCGGGTTTTAAATGGGAGGATTTCTACCACTTCCATTGTGAAGTAGTCGTCCCGTCTGCGAATAGTTAACATTTTCGCGTAGATGGTTCCGTTCATAGGCAGCACTAATTGGCGGAATCCTTTGTTCTCGCTGCGCTTTCTGCGCAAAGGTGGGTGTGGACGATGGCGTTTAAAGTTCCACTATTTGAGGCAGATACTCAACAATGCAGTGGTTTTGAATAAACCTCGAAACCGAATTACCGGTCGAACTGTACCATATTGAGTTACGAAGTGCTGAAGTGTAGCACAAACACTATAGCTGCCAAAGGTCCGGATTAGTTTTTTTTTCAGTGGCAAGCCCCAACATTCCACAAGAGATGGCTCGAGTGGTTAGAGCGCAAACTAACTAACCGTAAGGTCCTCGGTTCGAATCCGACCTCTATCTTCCAACATCACCTGTCCAGGTTTGCGCAACCTGGCGGTATCCAAGCCCTCTTGGTACCTTCGGGTGGCATGGCAGCTAGGCACCGAAAGGGTGTAACAACTTATCGATTCCCCCCACCAATTCAGCGTATGATTATTAACTTACAGAGTTCGGTGATGTTGATATTTCCGCCGGGAATTTTATTAAATGTGTTCTACTCAAAAGTGTTAGTCGTGCAGTCTCTGGTTTCTTCAGATATGATGACACTGTCTCAGTTGGTCCTCCTACGGGTGAATTCCATGGTACAAGGACTTTCCTTATGGTTACGCTGACCAAAGCGACCTTGTGGCCCTGACCCTATGTTACGGTTCGATCACGCTGCGAGCAAAACAATATGGTATGCGGATCATGGCAATACTCTATCCCCAGCTATGTTGCTTGATCCAGACCCCTAGCACGGCGGATAGTAAGAAGACGAAAAACCTCGGACACAAACCTTAATGATCCAACAACACGCGATCAACAGGCGATCTTTGGAAAAAATGGCAATTCATATATATTCATAGTTTGACCTTGAAGACGCCGGAAGTTCGCTAACACATAAAAATAGGGTTTTTGGAGGGGTATTGATATCCCCAGCACCTCCCCTTGTGAAAAGTCAGTAACATGCTCGACGGGGGTCGACCTGGATACGTTCCGGCTGACGGCGGCGTCGGTCTGTCCACCGCCTGAGAAGAAGTGTTGGATCAAATACTGAGCTGCCGGTCACACTCTCTTTCGAAGCTGTCTCAGTTTTCAGCTCAAAAGTATCGAGCAATATGTCCAACGGTATGCTACCCGAACATACTTGAGTTTCCGGCGTGCTGTTAAAGCGGAGTTGGTTTTGATGTCTGGTCCAGGTGTCTTGACCAACCGACACGTCGTACATTACACTACCGCGTTTGCGCAGGATACGACCTGCAATCCATGAATCATGTCCTGGGCGATAGTCACGGACAAGCACGGGCGTTCCCACCTTGAATGGAGTTCCAACTGCCACCGGTATGGACCTTGACTCAGTAGGTTGTGTTGGCAACATGGAAGAATGCACAGTTCTAAGTTTACGGCCCATGAGTGCCTCTGCAGGTGACTGGTGGTTTGCCAAAGCGTCATTCGGGGTCGTTCGGTACACAAACAGGAATCTCTGAAGGGCTTCGACGGATGTCTCCTCCCCTCGAGCTTTAAGCAAAGCCCTCTTGAATGTGTCGACGAACCTTTCTGCTTGACCGTTCGATTGTGGGTGGTACGGTGGTGAACGAACGTGTGTTATCGCATGTCGAGTGCAGAAGTCGCGGAACTCAGCAGAGGTGAACTGCGAACCATTGTCTGAGACTATGGACTCCGGTAATCCATGCTGACTGAAAATGTTGGATAACACTCTCAGCGTACTAGATGTTGTTGGAGATGACACCGGAACGATTTCTGGCCACTTGGAAAAAGCGTCAATCAAAACCAAATAAAAAGTGCCATTTATCGGTCCTGCGTAATCAATGTGGATCCGAGACCAGGGCTTTTCAGGTCGAGGCCAGGGAACCGGTGGTTGGTGTGGCGGATTCTTTGAAGCTTGTTGACATCGGGAGCAGCGTTTTACAAAATCAGTGATGTGCTGGTCCATGTGCGGCCAGTATGCGTAACTGCGAGCTATTGACTTCATACGGTTGATTCCTGGATGTCCAGAATGGAACTGACGAAGAACTCGATGGCGTAAAGGTTGCGGAATCACCACGCGATCTCCAAACATTAAACAATCTTTTACGATCGCTAATGCATCTCGGCGATGAAAGAGCTGTCGAAGGGAATCATCTTTGAGATTCGAAGGCCACCGAGAATTCATGAATCGGATCACCTTTTGAAGCGTTCCATCAGCTGTGGTAGCTCTTTGAACCTCTGTTACTGTCACGGGCAGGGCACGAACGGACTGGACCAACTGTGGGTCGGCTGGGTCCTCAAATGCAACATGCGCAATAACCGTGTCTTCTTCGGGTGTTGGCTGGTTGTTGATCAGCCGAGATAATGCATCGGCCTGACCGAAGTCGGTGGTGCGTCGATATTGAATATCGAAGTCATAACCCAGCATAATCAGGGCCCATCTTTGCAGGCGGTTGGCAGAGTGTACGGGAACACCTTTCCTTGAGCCGAAAATGGAGAGCAATGGTTTATGATCGGTAAGTAGGGTGAAACGGCGGCCATACAACATTTTGTGGAAACGCCGAACCGCGAACACTAAGGCCAACGCTTCTTTCTCTATCTGTGCGTATCGCTGTTCTGCTGGGGTTAGTGATTTCGACGCATGCATAATGGCCCTCTCCGATCCGTCTGGAAAGACGTGTAGAATGACGGCACCGACACCAAAATTAGAGGCATCAGCTGCCACAACGATCGGCAGCTTTGGGTCGTAGTGGGTAAGTAGCAGATCAGAACTGAGCATCGTCTTTAGTTTGCAGAATGCTTCCTCGCATTCGTCTGACCAACACCAGGGGACATCCTTTCCAAGCAACCGATTTAGCGGGGGCCGGATGTCGTGCAACGAAGGCAGGAATGCCGAATAGTAGCTGATTAACCCCAAAAGGGAACGTAATGATGGTACATCCTTAGGAGGTGGCATCTGCTGTATAGCTCGAACGTTTTCCGGGTCAGGATAGCGACCAGAGGCGTCAAAAATGAACCCAAGATATTTCACAGTTGTCAAGAAGAATTGACACTTCTCGGGACGGAGGCGGAGGCCATTGTCCTGAATGCGCAGTAAGACGGCATTGATTCGCTCACGAAGCTCTTCGGGGGAAACAGCAACGATCAGCACGTCGTCCAGGTATGCGACCACACCTGGAATGCCAGAAAGGATGGTGTCCATCAATTGCTGGAAAATTGCTGGGGCGGTTTTGACGCCAAACGGAAGACGGTTGTACTGATACAGCCCGCGGTGTGTGTTGATTGTCAGTAGTGGGCGTGATTCTGGTGCGACTTCAACTTGAAGGTACGCTTCAGCCAGGTCGATTTTGGCGAAGAACTTCCCACCGTTCAGAACAGTGAATAGATCGTCGGGTACTGGTAGTGGATAATGGTGCTGCTGGATAGCTGCATTTAGGCCGGTTGAGAAATCGGCGCATATGCGGATGCCACCGTTAGGTTTCTTTACTACAACGATCGGCGCTGCCCAGGCAGAGTAGGATACAGGGGACAGAACGCCTTGTTCTTCCAACCGTTGAAGTTCGGCATCTACCAGTGGGAGGGAAGCGTACGG